TAGCAATGTAGAGCACATTTACCACATGACTGTTAGTACCTAACCATGAAAAAGATACTCATGTACAGAATGCAATTCTTTGCATTTATTTCACTGGCCATAACCTTTTAAAATACAACACCTTTTTCCATAGTACACAAACATCTCTCTTATACATGCACTAGCCAATGGTCACCCTGTAAGAAAAGTGTTTGACTGCCAGTTTTAAGAGTGAAAGTGTTAACTATACTTGACCTAAAAGAAGTACAAATTTAAGAAAAATAAAATATCTTTCACAACACTAAGCATCTGCCTTCTCTGGAATGTTAATACAGCAGTTTCAGAAGTAGGATAACCCACAGCTGAACAGGTCTGTGTCTCTTTCAAAAATGACCTCAAATGAAGAACTAAAAACCTAACAATGGATACCCCTTGTTGCTATAGATAGGTTTTATAGTAACAGTCTGTTCTCAGTAAAACAGCAGCATTGCAGACAAGCTCTACTAAACCAGGTCAACCAGCAGAAGCCTCCCATTCTTTTGTTCCACTTGTCAAATGGGTAAATACAAAAGAGTCCTCATACTAATTTGTAAGGAATTCTAGCTGTTGTGATTAAGGACCCACAGATATGTTAAATGTTAAAAACATCAGACAATAAGAGTTAAATAGTTTTTACACTCTTCAACACATAACAGTATCATTAATATTTACAGAGACTCCCTATTTCAGATGGGAATTGAACCATACTGTAAATACCTACCTGTCAATGAAATAAAACATTTTAAGTTTTCACCAATTAAGTTTTTCAATTGAAAAAAAATCCCACATTAAAAAAATTCTCAGCTTTACTGCGCAATACTCAAATTTTGCCAGCAGTTAGTGATTTCTCTCCACAGTCACTCCTAGTAGGAAAGCACACTGAATTTAGGTGCAGTTAAATTATGGGCATAGCACATGGAATATATCTACAGCTCATATTCTTACCATGAGGATGAAGATTGATATCATAACCATGAACACAAAAATCAATTAAAAAATACAAACTTTTATATACATTCCAAAATTCTTAGTGTAATGTCAGGTAAGAATTCAGCTAGTTTTATTTGTAATACTGCACTTATGGTAACGTATCAGTTTTTCTTATCATATATTGGATATTAGGAAAACACACTTAATTGAAATTTCATTAGAATTAAAGTTATTTTAAAATTTATCTGCAGGTTGCTCATTCAGTTGACTAGAAATTTCTGCATATTGCCTAAATGATCTCAAATTTCATTAGGAGAACATGCTCTGAAACTGAATGATGAAATTATAGCAGGGAAGTCAGCAATTTTCATAAAAAATTCTATTGGTATATAAAACTTAAATGAAAGCTAAATAATGATGTGATTAAAATAAGCCACATCTTTAATAACTAGTTTTAATAAATTTTAGATCCATTATGTGGAATAATTTAAAACGCTTCAAAGAAAGGATGAGAAGTACATAAAATGTTTCTAGTTTATGAAAAAATCTTCATTTTTTTTCCTGACAAAAATCTACATGCTACTGTACATTCACAGGTATGTTCAGTACTAGGCATATTTGCCTTTTTTCAAGGATGCCTTTTTTCAAGGGCCCAGAAAATCAGAGCAAGCACTAAAATGCTTTATTAAAAAGCGTTAGAAGATAAGAATCTGTTGCCCAATAACATTTTCTTTATTTGCTTTCAGGAAGATATTTCAGGTTAATAATCTAATTTTCTTCCAGAACTATTAATTCACATGTTAGTGCCTCTCCCTTCTTCCCATGCCACCCCCAAATAAACCAGGATTTCACAGGTGCTACAGGTATTTTATTACTTACGCTTCAGGTTATTTCACATTAAGCATGAGTCTGACTATAGGATAACCTGTCAAATTAATAGTTCTTATTTATGAAAAATCAAGTTTTGTTTATGGGAAATAATGGTTCCGCTTACAGAATTGAGAAAGAAAGGAAGTACTATTCCCATTCACCAGTTGCTTCTGAAACCATTTCTTAGTAGTCACTTGCTATTAATACAAATGTATGCATGTGTCCATGAGACGAACAAGTGGAAAGGTTATTTAATACAATTAAGTGAAAAATAAGCAGTCCACATTCAGCTATAAATCTATCAACCAAATTACAAAAAGTTTTGTGTGAATAAACAAAAACAGGTAAGGAAAGAACACTTCATCCTGATTAAGAAAACCTGCAAATGTGGATTCATAAAAGCTTTGAAGCCAGGAGACTCCAGACAACTGGAAAAGCTAGCACAGTGAATAATTACTTCTCAGAGAAGCCTCTTATCTACTCATGATTACTATACTTCAAATTTCTTCCAGCAATAACAGCTAGTTTTACACCTTCTATGATGGACTCCTCTGCTGCTTGCACAATGAAAATATACTTCCTTCAATTTATTGACAAAAATACAACCACTGTCCATAAAGCAATACTACCTACATGGATAGATCTGGCATAAGATTTTTAGTATCTCCTCTTCTACATAGGAAGGATTAGTTACTTCCTAAATTTATCATTTGGTCTATCAGTTCCACCACTATGCCTTTCAACTGTTCATGTGACAATTCCTTAAATCCACACTTGACAGCAAACACGTATGTCATGAAAAATCAGTGAAGTAAAACCAGTTGCGTCAGATTACATGAGGACAAAAACTACAGAATTCTGCAACTTTTTTTTTCTAAAATAATATCAGAGTTCATAATTTCCTGTGCTTGAGGGTCCAACTCCTGCAAAGATGGAAAAAGGGATAATGCTGTAGCAAAACAAGGAATCAGCACTTTCTTTTAACTTCACTCTAGGAAGACTGCAGCATGAATATTACTTTCTTCATGATGAGTCCTTCCCACAAAACCCATTAAAATGAGTCTCAACTAGGGTACCTGAGAAAGTCAGACAAGACTCAAAGGAGCTTACAGGGTTCTATGCCTGCTGGGAGGCCACTTTCACTTTGGAACAGAAGCAGGTTACTCTGCAAACAGAGGTCTACAACAAAGTGGTTCATAAATACTGAAGATGGTTAGTAACTCATCAGCTATATCATCTTGTTCTCATTCCAAAGGTCTCCATCTTCACACAAAGAAACACAGATCATTCACTCTTACAGTACTTCCATCAGGTAACAGAGGAAGCAATAGAAGTTGTTGCAATCAACAACTAGGGTTACAAAGACTTACTGGTATCTGAAGTAAAGCAGACTAACTTTGACTTGCCTGCATTCTTACATTGAACACTTCCCAATCTTATCCAGTAAACAAAAACACCAACGAAGTTACATTTGCTAAGACATTTTTCCCAATAAATTTTCCCATAAGAATTCCTACTTCTGAGAACCACTGACTATTTTCTGAAGTCTGAACCAGTCATCACAGCTTTATTTCTTACCTCCACTACCCAGCTACTTTGCAATTTTGGATAGTTCCACCTTGGTTTTCACAGATAGGTACTGTCCCTAACTTGTGGGTTGTGGTGTCTCATTGGTAAAGCAATTAAGTTCTCTGCTTTCCACTTACCAGCTATTTCACAATGCTAGTGTAGTGTATACTGGTAACTTACAACTACTTACAAAAACCCAGACATTATACCCTGATGACTTTCTCCAATTAGCAAGCATGTAAGACTCAACATTTTGACTAGACATTCTGCAACTTAATTTTCCATCTATGAACAGGAATAGACAATGCCCTGTCTTCCAAAGAGTAAAAATCTAAGTATTCCTGGCTGTAGACCATTCATACTATCGCAACAAAAAAAAAAGTCTATATGAATTGAAAGTATCAAAAAGTATGTTTCCCTAGAGAGCGTTTTTAAAGAAGAACATAAAATTTTGAAAGCTACCTAATAAGAGAAACACTATGCAGTCTATGCATCAATGAACATATGATCCTGAATTTCTGAAAGTCAAAGTAGCATTTAAAAAGTATTAAAATTCATCATAACACACACGTGCTAGGTAACAAAATAAAAGTGGTATGGGCATGTTCATTTTGTATTCTCTGACTTGTGAAGATGACTCTTCAGCTTAAATGGTATTTTAATGTAGTTTAAGCATAACTTTAAACTCATCATTACAAAATCCAAGCTGCCTTTGATAGAAAAAAAGGAAATGAGTGTGCATGTAGAAAACAGCTATTAGTCATCCATTTTATACAATTAGCTTCTACATTAGTAAAAAAAAAAATGGAAAAAGTAACTAACTACATGACATATGAAAAACTACTCTAGGAATTAAATTAACATTTTCAAGGAAAAGGTATGGTAAGATTTTTCCTAGAGTATAACTGATTTAGGGAAGATTTGTACTCACTTCCCTGGTTCAATAAGCTTCACCTCTTGCTGACTATATACAGCTCTGTGAAAGGCACAGAAGTATGTGAAAAGTTTTAGATACTGTTCACCTATAAATGCAAAAGGTGATACTTGGATCATTGAGGGGGCCATTCTAAGAGTACTTCTGGGTGTAAAAGAAGGAAGGGGAGCAAAATGCACAATTCAAATCTTAAACTGCACTTAAATTTACACTATTTTAAAAAGTATTTGAGAGGCTTAAAACTACTAAGCATCAATATATACTGTATCAGTGGAAGTGAAGTTAAACTGAGACTGAAGCTCTTTAAATATTATAACAACTTTTAAAAAACAACTTTGATTAGCAGTTTGGTCATTATAGTGTTCATTCAAAGAGAACACACTAGCAATAGTCTAAGACTACTTAGTTTAAGGTATACTCATATGCACACAAGTTCTGTGATATTTAAGACTTACTCAATAACTTTAAGATTTCATAAAATTTTCTTTAAAGAATAGAACAAAAGTCTTAAAATACTAGAAAAATTAATACCTTAATCCACTGACTCATGTGGCTTTTTTTCTGTTTCCAGTAACTAGGGACACTTAATTAAATAAATTTATACCCCTAAATCAGAGAAGTTCTGTCAAAAATTGATCCTGGATTACATCACAGTAAAATGCATGACACTGCTTTTTACCTCCAGATCCTAGCTGCTTGTAGAATCTGTATTCCAAATGTAGCTGTGGTGCTCTCGACTTCATTGGCTCCTGATTTAAAAACAAAAACAACATTTAAAACAAAGCCTCTCTGCCAAAGCCTAACTACTAATACACTAACCTACTACCAGCCAAATTAACCCTACTGCTTCCAGGCCACATGAAAAGTTTCAATGTTTCTTCCAAAATGACTGGTAATTTTGAAACTAAGGAAGCTAAATCTCAGTCAGGTGAGACTAGAGTATACTGGGACTTTTACATCTTGTATTGCTTCACAGGACTGGGGTTCAACATTCAAGTCAAATCAGACCCTCAAATGGAACTGCTAAAAAATAATCTGCTTTTCCTAAACATGTAGGTGATATTGATATGCAGCTTAACAGATTGAAAAAACTCTCCATACATCTACTACCTCTATCAAAACACAGGCTTTGCCCCAGGATCTTGACAAAAAAATATCAGATTCTTCCACCAAATAGTAACATCTTAGCAGAAATTAAGTAGCACTATTCTAAACTAGAAATACAAAAAAACCCACCACCCACCAGAATACGTTTGTAGTTAAAAATCTTTCTTTTCCCAACATCAGTTACAGAAGTTAATGAAATCTTAGTTCTGTGTTCTACAAATCAATGTGGCAAGGTCCCTCATAAGAAAGTGACATACGATCAAGCACAGAAACACACAAGCAACCTAAATGGGAGCCCTAACTTCTTGAGTGTTTCCCTTTGCAAAGCAAAGGTACTTTATCATAAGATTTTTAAAGTGATTCCTAAAGCATATGCCTGGTTTCTTGTGATATGTAGTATCATCCAACACACTGGTGATAATCTGGACATTAATTGTGCATTATTGCCACACAGACTGCTCCTACTAGAACTGCAGCACATAATGAGTAAAATTGTTAATGCATTTATCAGCAATAACTGATACGGCTAGATGTCAGTTTTCAGGAAAAGTTTAGGCAAGGTGCTCAGCTCTTTCCCCACACCATCTTCTCTAGAAGATAAATTTATTACCCTGGGCTATCTCCCACTGACACATCCAGGCCATGAAAACCATAAGCCAATTTCCAATCACTAAAAGCAGTCCTCTTCCTCAACCCATCTCCCCCTAACACTCACGTTTCAAATTGCTGCTACTGCTACAGCCAAATTCCCTGTCACGGTACATTTATGCATTTGATTTTGCCAGGATGCCAAAGGTTGGGGCCCAAAAGTGAAGAGGGCCCAATGTAACAGTTTCTACAAAAAACAAATAGAACGTAAGTTTTTTATCCAAGTGAGCATTCACACTAGCTGAACACTGCAATTCCTTGCAGAGAAGTAAGCAAGAACTTTCTAAAACAAAGAGGCTGCTGATCCTTCACAAACAAACTAAGCAAGAATAACTGGGCCACCAAAAGGTCCTCTTACAGTTTGAGTAGAAGACATTAAATTTATTGTCAAGTATTTAATACAGCCCTTAACAAAACACTTCACTGTAAACGTGGACCTAAGCAAATCAGTGCAGCTACCAACTTTTAGTACTCAGCTTTCAGAGGCATAAGTAAATCCACTATGAAGCAGGTTACTGAAACATTTTAGTCTTTTAAAAAACTGAAATTTTGCTACTAGTTTGCCTGAAGTAGGTTTGTTAGTTACAAAATATACCACACTCTACACAGTCTCTAAAGTTTTTAGTTCTGACAGCTAAGAGGAAAATATATCAGTCCATAAAACTGCATGTCTGCTGAATATACTAAGACAAGACACTGGCTTATGGGTAGTTTGATTTTGTTCAATTATACAGTTTTGCCTTAATTGATAGAATATTAACTTAATCACCACTCATTGTTACAAGATGTTCCCACAATAAAGATGAAAAACAGCTTGGATGTGTTAAATTAACTTAACACACACCCCCCCCCCCCAAAAAAAAAGGCCTAGGTAAGAGAACTAGCTTTGAATTTTTTGATATACACATCTACACTTTTTCAGATGAATGCTGTTTGTTCCAGTCATCAGTAGGAAAGAGTTCTGATGAGCCTCCAGAAGGAAAATGTTCTCCAACAGTCAAACAAGTTTACACCTGACACCTGTACACCAGCCTAAAGCTGATGATAAACCCTGCCTAGCAGAGGCAGAAGTAAATACTTTTACTCCTTCCAGTAATGGTGGGAAAAAAAGTGTGGTAATATCTATTTGTAGTCCATTTATTGGCTGACAGCGTTCTCGAATTGACTTACTTCTGTAAGGAGGCTTAGATATCTTCCTGATTAATCAGTAATTTGAAATATACAAGGGAAATATAATCTTTTTTTCAGTGAAACTTGTAAGAGGGCAAACACACAATAAACTTTTCACATAAAATGTTTTGTCCCTACACATCCCACATCACAGTATGCAGTGAACTACTGATAAAGGTATGTTAAATGTAATCTTCCACCATAACTAAAGAGTGAAGAATACACCATGAACTACACTTTTGAGTAAATCTAAAAAAACATGTTCAAGAATAAAAAATAAATGGCAAATTATGGTTATTCCCATTTTCATTAGTATTTCAGTACATTTCAGCATCTAAAAATAAACTCGGGAACACGTAAGTGCTCAAACGTCATGTTAATCCCAAAGGACTTTGAAGCCAATTTCTCTTCTTAAGAAAATAAATTAATGCATTTTGTTTACTTAAAACTTATATCTTCAGTGAAGTATCCTGAAAGAACTGTTCCAAGATTTCTGAAATGCTCTGTAAACGACCATCACGACACTGCTTTTACATTCAAATCTAATTATTTCAAAGCTTTTACATTAAAAACATAGATAGCTTCTTTTCCGTGCAAAAGAGCATTTCTCTCTCAATGAGAGTCTTGCTACCAAAGAATTAAAGTGGAGTTTATTAAGCACCAGATACCTAAGCAGCAGAAACAACAGCTCCTTAGTTCACCAGAAACTTCTTCTGAACCAAGTTTTTTCCCCCCTCCTTTTTCCTTCCATGCAGTGCTTACACATTCAAACAAAATGATAGACACCCAAGGTGTAAAATCTGTTTGAAGTACATAATGTGGGGATCATCACAAATTTTTGTGCCAAATACATATAATAAACTGTATTATTTTCAAGATATGCCACTACCCTTCTAAAGAGCTTTGAGAAAACAGTTTATTTACTCTAAGGTTAGAAATTTCCAAGAATTCCCATGTTAACCCAAAGCACAAAACAAACATTCAACTATTACCTACTTCTCATGTTTTTAGCAATTCACTGAGAACTCCTACTCAGTATATCTTTTGTCTCTGCTTCATGTTCCCTTAAACAGCAAACAAGAGCTATTTTCAAGCAAGAAAAAAATCTTTAAGAGGTTGGGCTCTGGTCACAGGAAAAGCAGTATATTAAACAGAGTTGCCCTTGATTTGGATATATTACAGCCTTCTGGAAAGGTTCTGAAATGCAGTCATTCTAGACTGCAGTAATTCTTTAAAAGCAAAAAAGGGCAAAAAAAAAAAAAACATTCCAGCCTTGGAAACAACCACAGTCTTCTTTCCACAAACACCCCACTTATAGTTTTAAGGATTAAAACCTTAACAATTCAATGATTAATGAACTAATTAAAGATTACAGATTAAAAGCAGCAGTGACTACCTTGTAACTTGCTATCTTTCACACAAAGAAAGAAAGAAAAATTGACTTATTTCCAGCAGCTCAAGCAGGAATTCCCTTAGTCGGTATTTGGTCAGTGGTTAAGCTTCCTGCAGAGGAGATAAGTTTGGGCAAAGAAGAAATTTGTCAAAGGTAAAGGGAAGAAGAATGAAGGAGAGAGTAGAGCTGAATAGGGGAGATATTAGTGAAGCAGAGAATAATGTAATAAGTAAATCTAACAATAAATGAAGAGGTAAGCAGTAAAGCTACAGTTCATGTATACCAAATGGTCTTTGCTGATGAACCACCTGATCACAAGATACCAATTTGTATACTAATAGACCAGTAGAAACATACAAACAGCACTAGACAGACAGTACACAACTGATAAAGCACAGTTCTTCAGTCTCATTCTAGTTCTTAAATAAAGTCTGTTCTAACCTTTCAGACTTGGGTATCTGCCCAGCCAGACAAATCATAATGAAACAAAACAGATTAAGATCCTGGAACTGTAGCCATTTTACCAGAATAAATATGTATTTACATATAAACTGTATATATCAGAATGCATACATTGTATGACCCTCAGGCCTCACGCAGAAAAATTAAGTGTTTAAACTATTTCCTTACATAAATCCTGAAGTTGCCATGAGTATTGTAAACAATAATATATTTGTATAATTTTGTCTACAAGGGAAATATTAATGCAACACACTGAAAAGTTTAAGTCAAAACAGTAGTTACAAAAATCCATTTACTTTTAGCATCAGAAGCAATCCTGCAAGATGCTGTACAAATGCAGCTATTATAATTCACGCTCTCAAGAGAAACACATACAATCCTCTTGCACTAGAGCATGCAATTACCATCTATACACAAAACACCTGGCACATGAGATGTCTTACTGTACATAAGAAAACAGTATGTCAGCTAAGGAATGCTACCGTGAAAAACACAAGTATGATTTTAGGATATTGCAAGAGCCATTACCAAAACCGTACCAGCTAATAATACTGCTGAAACTAAAATAGATACATAATTCAAGTAACCCTAATCAGGAGGCCTAAACTTGAACTACAACAGGTATAAAACAGAGAGAAAATTAATAGTGCCTCATTTAGGATAACAAAACAAAATCTGAGCCTAGGCTTAATAACTGCTCTCAAAACACACAGGGAATGAATTTCAGACACTGGGAAAAACTGTTAGGCTTATTTTAAAAGGGAAAGGATGGTACATCATGAACAAGTAAAACCTAACTGATAAAGTCCTAGCACTGCTTCCAACAGGAGAAGAAAAACAGCATAAAAAGCATAATTCAACTAAATCATAAAATTTGATGCAGCTCTTTTTAACAGACTGAGCCATGTGACTCAAATCCCTTCCAATATGGAAACAAATTCAGAAGAGCTGAAAGATATACTAAAAATGAGAACCATGTTAAAAGAACCCACTAGTTCTACCTAATAAATATATTTTTACCTTACAATGATAATGCAAGCACCAGTGTCGATTTTTACTATGATTCCTTCCATCTGATTATTGCAAAGACACTATAGCGTTTCATATCACTAATGTAAGAGGACAAGCCTAAAAGTCAACTACATATTCAGAGTTCTTTAAGTTCTAATAGTAAATTAGACACACCTTACTGTACCGGTTCTTTAGTGACTTCCAAGTAAGTTACTCAGTAACGGTACTTCAAGCTTTTTGCACAGCTGTAAAAGAACAGCTGTAAGATTGAGTAATTTGGAAACAAATAAATTGACCCTGAACAGTATCTTTAAATGTTGAAATGGGTTGAAATGGTATCTGATTTTATTAATGGTTACATATAAAAAACTGTTTTAGCATTTTTGATTTTACCCAAGCTCACTGATCAGAATAAAAAGTTCTCTTGCTCTACATCAAGTAACTAGTGCTTAAAAAAAGAAATCATAATCTTGCAAACTATTTCTCAATGTGCTTTATAGTAAAGAGCCTTTAACTAGAGAAATTCTCAGACTGTTTTCATGTTTTACCAGATACAGAGAATAAGTTCAAGTTGTTTTAAAACAGAATTACTTTCATTTTGTATAATACACATACAATGACCCTCAAAGATGCATCCAATGTTGCTCTTTCAAACCATAACTTGGATGGTTTTTACATCTGCTAATTACTTCAAGTAAATATTTTTAAGCAAAAATAGTGATACAAGTATTTTTCAGTTTATTATAAAAATTGGCAATGCTTTTCAGATTGGCCATCTAAAGCCCTGTTTCTGGTTCCATAGTTTAGCTTTCACTTCATGAAATAAGAAGTTCACCATACTATGCTATGAAAAGTGTTCTGTCCTACTGCAGCAAGAAATTTATAGGAGTCCTAAAAATTCCTTCAATTACAGTAAGTCAACAACTGAATTACATCTTCAAATACTTTGCTTATGAAAACAGTCATTTACCCATAACTTAAAAACATCCTGACCAAAACATGAAATAAACGGAGCAGTTCTGATAAAAGAGTCAGAAAAAGTAGGACAATGACATATTAACAAAATACCCACATTTACCATGTTTGTAAGAGAAGGTAACATTTTACACATAACTGCAAATAAAACATGTCTACTGAAACAGATGTGCAAATACCAATTATTACAGATGAAAAACAATTTGGGGCAGGAATAAGGTTGTTAAAATACAGGCAGTCTGCAGAATTTCCAGAGCTTGCTATAGTCACCTGATGTTAGACTGACATTAAATTTGGTGTTCCTCTACTTGTTGCACAAAAAAGGAATCTACTAAGACGACTGCTGAGCATAGCCTTGAAGCAGCAATCATCATCATCTTCACAAACACAGATTTAGCCTTGAGAACAGTGACAACAATTAAATTTGGTTTTATTCAATATGGCCAAAGTATATAATTACATCTACCACTAACTGTTTTCATCTAGTCAATTGAACACATACAGGATGATCAAGGATTTAAACTAAAGAAATCAAACCATTTTCTATGAAAGGAAAATTGTGATTAGTTTCTCATTCCAAATCCTTCAAAAAAAAAAATTAACTTACCAGCTTAATTGCCACATATTCATTTGTGTATAAATTTTTTCCTTGAAAAAAAAACAAAAACAACAACGTAAGACATTGGCTTTCCAGTTCAAGTAAAATGTCATTTAAACCTGCAAAAAGTATTTGAAACATTTTTGATCTAAGGTGCTAGGTGTTCTGCTAGTGACTTAAAGATGTGGCTTTATTTGTCTGATACCATACTTCAAACAGAACTCTGTTCTTGAATAGTGTAAGAAGCAGCAGTTTCACCAAGAGAGTGTTTCAGCTATTTCACCAAGTTTGCAAATTTTTTATACAATAGAAAAACTTGAAAATTGGTAAATTGCTCTAAGTGGAATGTGGTATTCCACATTTTCATGTTTATTGCTGAAAATAGTGTAAAAAGTTATTTTAAAATTATCATATGTTTTTGGAACACCAGACACTGAAGTTAGAATTACCTAGGAGCACTTTTTTTCCTCAATTCTGTAATTTACTAAACTTAAAGTTAGGACAAACAGGGCAAGAATATTACCGAGTTAAATGCCTACACCTTTTGGAAAATTCATCTGCTGCTTTGAAAGTGATTCTGCAATGGGATAAGCATATTTCAACAAACATTACTTCAAACTGTATGCAATGACTAAAATACTAAGCTCTATGGGTGTAAAATTTAAAAAAAAAATAGCAGATCAAGGAAAAAGTGAATTCACACAGGCACTTTTCTCGACAGTCTTCAAATGAGTTTGGTGTGTATTACTTTCAATTACAATCCTACTTTTTTCTCTGTAATATTACTCAGGTCTGAATTTCCCACATTTTGTTAAAGAAGTCAAACAAGGAAAAGACATGGACCAAGACAAGAAGTTCTGTACAAAGACAGTTACATTTATAGCTGAAGACTATGATCTCAGCTCTAATCCTTATTTTTAAAAATAGAGCAGTCCTGCAAAGCTGAAAAGATGTTTTCAAGTCACATGTCCATTACAGGATCAATTTTACAAAAAGCAATGGTACCCGAAGGTTGTAAAATAAACACAGAATCAGTACAGGCATCATGCCCTAATTTGACCACCAAAAGAATGGCTAATTCCAAGACCTATCCAGGGACTAGAGTCAAAATCCAGGCATCTTAAATAATTATTTCTTATGATCATTTGAGTTATATTTTTGACAAAAAGTGCACTTAGTTTCAAGCTGCTTCTGTGTCTTTGCATGCTATTACAACCTAGAAGACATTAAAAGAAACATTTGCAGAGAACCCGCTGATTCAGACTATTAGATATATAAATCAGCCACTAGAGTAGCTAACAAATCCAGTTACAGTTAAGTGACTGGATACTGGGTTGCAGTAACCAACAGGCTTATTCTGAAGGAACATCAAAAGGACATCATAACTTTCCATGTGGTGATTCAAGGCAACTGTCTCTAAAATACAGAAGACAGCAAATGACACCACTGTTGATTTATCTCAAAACAGAATAGATATTGCTTAACACATGCAGCAGTAGCAGCAAGCTCTCTTCTACTACCCCATGAGTTTATCTGAACTCAGAAAAGCCTGAAGATTAACAGCTCAATATTCAAAACAATTCAGTCCTTTGCAAGATAATAGTTGCATATCACAGATGCTCATTTGCTACATTTGCCAAATTACCATTCGATCCACAAGCCACCACAGAAGTCTGGCCACTCCTTTCTTCTCGGGTGGAAGAACTACAATAGCTAGTGATCCATAGCTGAATTTTTATCCCCTGAAGTGCAACTTCACTGCTCTTCAAGAACTTTATTGCTCCTCTAAGATCCTAAGACACATGCTCAAATTATATTCCATTTTGCAGAAGTACATAAAACAAATTAAGCGCTTGTGTACATCTTCGTAGGAAGGATGGACACTTTAAGTTACTTGCTACTGTAGTAAAGTACATGCAAAAAACAACAAATTTATATCACAATCTGTAAAACTAATTTTAATTCCTGATTTCAGTAACTTACATTTAAAACATCTCACCCCACAAATAACAATAAATAAGGATGTGAAATATCTACTATATATGCAACATACTGTAGCATACATATATGTGTATATGCATCTATGTAACAGTGTAACATACTATATACACTACACTTATTTTCCTCATGTTTCTTTTACTCATTTGTCCTATTTTCAGTACTATCAGACTGTAAGTCTTAACTACTTCAATACTGTACTTCGAACTAAATAGATGATTCTACTCCGCATCTGCTGCAAGCAAATGAGTTAGTCTGATGTTGATCTGAAATAGATAATCGACTCTATGTTGTGACCACTCCAAGGTAACAGACAAAACAAGTAACTCTGAGTTTGCAGTTGCCTTCAGTAGTGTGACATTAATTATACTCGTTTGATTTAATTTATGGAGGGGTTTAAAAGAAAAATTATCAAAGTCAGTTTAGAGAAGTTTAGGAGCTTCAGCTTGACTTGTGGACTGCAGAAGCACATATATAACACTGTAAATGTGAAAATCTATCAATCTTATTTAACTATTCATATGAATACCAAGAGTACCTGTAACAAGAGACTCTGTTAAACTCAGTATCCTCAATCAGAGCTCCAGCAATGTTATCTTCCATCCCTCTACAGTATAAATATGCTAAGCTTGTCTACATTCTGACTCAGACTGGATATAAGGCCCCCAGAAAGCACTGTATTAAAAACACTGAAGGACAATGAGCAGTGTTTCTACCAGCAAGACAAGATTAACAGCAACACAACACCTACATCGCCCACCCTACTCCCAAACACCCTACTTTTGAACCCATCTCATTAAATCTTGAAGCAGTGCATTAACTCAAGCCTCCCAGGAATACTGGAATGAATTCTTGCCATGAAGTTTTAAGTTATATTTGTTAACACATATGGAATTAGCAGATCTTGAAAACACTAGCTAATCATGCTGTCATCATGGAACTTTACATCTCCAGAACTAAATACATCCTCTTCCAAAATCACATGCCCATCATTTATTGTCTAGTTTAATAAATGGTAAAATTTCTAACTTTACTGTCTGAATTATTCAAAATTCCATAGGTCCTCCTCAGTCCATCCCTTCATCATTTGACTTTCATCCATCTGTCCAGCAGGAAACTAAGTGACCCAATTACCCATCCCCCAGATTCTCTCTCCAGAAGGATTCTCACTGCCCCATCTAACAGCAGCTCACTGTTTAGCCTCACCACACTGCTGTTCATGCAAAGGCAACCAAGGAATCCAAGAGCCTGCTGCTACTAAGAACACTGCAGTGCCTGCTACACTTGTCTCCAAAGACATGTCCAATAGTATAGTACTGTCAGCTGGACCTACAGGAAGAGGATATATTTCACATACACTTAGCCCCAGATACATCTAAATAAACTGCTTCAGGAAGCCAGGAAAGGTAGCAAAATGCAAGAACTGTGAAGTAATTTGCAGCATCTTGGAAGAGACAACTAACTGAATTCAGGATAGCATGACACAGTTACAAAACATTTTTAGTCTCAGAAAGTCTCCTGTTACATTTATTCTTAATACATAATAGAGCTTGCACTGGCAGGGTCAAGCCACAAAAGATGTGCAAGGCAAATTTAACCTATCTGAAGCTTGAAGATACTTCGAAGAGCTGTATGGTGTGTTCATGCAGACATTTTCATGCCTAGACTGCATACAATGGCCTTGAGTAATGTAAACTGAAATTAAAAAGCAATGATCTTACCTAACCGCAGCTCTCCAAAGTTCCCAGATCCAATTTTCTTGCCAACTCTGAAGTTAGGGCCGACCATTAAGACTCCAGAATTTGAAGAACCAGTTCCACGTGGATTATGGCCTGACCTCCCACTAGGCCGTGTCATTCTTTCATCTACCTTGTCTTTCCTTTTATTATCCATGTCAAGTTTACGGTACTCCACTTTGATTTCTTCCTCTCTTTAAAAATCAGTATAAGCAAACTCCAATTGGACAATGCAAGAAGGAAAACATCACCAGTGAAGTGCCCAGCTGGTTACTGTCAGTGAGCAGTCAACAGCAGCATGTTCATCCCATTCACAAAGCCTTGGTAGCATCTGTAGTAAAAACGTATCTCCAGAATGCACAGCACCAGGAATATTTACTAGCAGTTACAGGAATTCTGTTAAAGAAAAACAAAGTTATTCAATACAGTAAGACTCTTGTACTAAACTACCACTCCCTTCAATGAGGCAATACCATTAAGCTATAATTAACTACATCTATTTTACACATCCTCTATGAAAAACACTAAGCTTAAAGCCTCTGGTTCTAGCATATAAAGGCAAGAGATACTGCTGTGACTGAAATGAGCTAAAAAAATAATCTCAAAAGCTTAATGCAATTGAATTTCAAAAACCCGCAACCCTATAAAACTACTTCTTGAGTAGGTAGGACACTTAAAATCGATATTTAGAAACTCATTGCATCTTACGCAAGCTCTGTAAAAGCAGATGCGTTTTTTTCCCAAGTAGTACCTGTTGATCTAAGAAAACATTCAAGCTGCACAGTTACCGAAGGTATAAGAAGATGTTCAAATTTTAAATTATTTCATTATCTTTTCTCCATAATAATTTCTTAGATACACAATTTATAAACTCATGCCAATAACACTTCAATTCTTTCAAAAACTCCTAGAATCGGAAATGAAAATATATTTATTCTCCCCTGCCCCATTTAATTATGTCATAAATCTGATTCCCCACTCCACTTGTCCACTTTTTAGCATCATTGCTTGGACACTAATTCCAACACTGATTTCAGCAAAACATGTTAGTTTACTACTGCAATAAAAAAAATCCCAAGAAAACTTTCATTGTTATCTTGCCCATAAGAAAAGTTGATACTGCTTTCTATTTGACACAGTGGTTTAAAAACCCAGAATTCAGAAGACAGATAGATACAACATAGGCAAAATTTCAGGGTCTGTTAAACATCTGTTCAAAATAACTTTGCTACATTTGCTTCAATATTAGGAATACACTGCCATAAAAAAAAACCTCTGAAGAAGTAATGCATTGTGTGCTACAGACTAATTTAAAGAGAGTAAGCAGCAGCTCATTTTAAACACTAACTGAAGACACTTTCATTTCTTAAACCCATTTCTCAAAGTAAAATTTTTACTCACATCACAGCTTATTACAACATTATAAAAAAAATATCAGAGCCAGTAGAGAAAAGATACCCGAGAATATGAACAACCACATGAATCACTGCATCTCCTTCATCATAGATACTTATAACACAGTCATAACTAGACAATATTTAAAAATCACTAATCAACAGCTCACTAACCTATCACCTGAACAATGAAACACATGGAAATTTGTTTGGGAAACAAGCATGATCACCTTATTATGAAAGGAGAAATGGAATACTTGCTCTGAGAACAATCAAAAAACACAGATTCAGCTTCCAGACCAATCAGACTTGCTTAATGAAAGGGAAAAGGACTTCAGCAGTGAGTAATGCATGAAGTGATGTGGTACACTACAGACAGAGGCATTTAAGTGAAAAATACAAGCTTGAACTTGTAGGTTCAAGCATCACCACTGAAGTCGCTTTCCAAACCACTCATCTCAGAGGAATAGACTTAATAGGAAGCAATAGGTAATTTTTATTCACCCACTGTACTACAAAAACTATGAAATAAGAAAACCAGAAGTGGAGTGTGTTGAGGAAGGACTTCAAGGGCAACATTTAGTACTTAGAAAGAATGTCAGTAAATCTGATACAGCAGAATGCATAAATATTTTAAGTACCAAAGAAAAATGAATTTTGTTCCATATCATACCACTTCTCCAGTGAGAAATGACAAGCTAAACAAACGTGGAATTTCTAGTGTTAATACAGAGGCTTCATGGCAAATGGAAACAATACACCTAAGCACATATTACTGCCAACACCAAAGAGTAAAAAAAGCACAGACAGGTGTTAACACAATGCTTTTGTGATCTCAGAAGCAGTGGAAGGCCAAACTGCCCGGCACGATTTTCCACATACCAAAATCTTCATAGTACCACACACTGTAAGACATACCTTGGAACGGTGAAAGGCTAGAAAGGCACTAATAGATCATACTAATGGCACCAACCAGCAGGTTCCACAACAGAGCACTAGGACAACAGAAGGGACTAGGTACGCAGGCAAACCTGAAGAAATCCAAATCTGATTTCAGAGTTAATAGGATTCTTAGTTTAGAAGTTTTCCATAGCTTATATGTTGACATATATAACATAACTCATCACATGTCAAATGAGTTTAAAATTGTATTCTTCTAATGCATCACAACTTCATTTTAGAAAGATAAAACAGTTCCAGTTTTGCCATCTATTTCAGATCTCCTCATTCTGTCTTTGTATTTAATTATCACCTGAGCACAGCACATAGCCTTGCTAACTAAGCAGAAAACTTAGCTTTAACAGACTGGGTTCTGAGGGCACTAAGAAGTACCTCATGATGTATCAGGAACATGGAATAACAAGGAGACAATGAGGACAAAGGGCACCAGAAATTCAGTATCAGCACTAAGGCAATGGTGATCTCTAAGAAAGCAGCAGTAAGCCAAAGAAAGTCCATCATCACCAGAAAAGCTTCCAATCTCACAATGTTTCAGTTCATGTAGCAATAAAACAGTACCAGAGAAGACAAACTGGGATCTCAAGGACAGATTATCCAGTATTTATGTAAAGCATATTAGCTGCCCTGTGTGCACATTTGTCCAGATGAAGCCTAGTAGTTAATAAGACACTGAAGCTCTGCCAGTAAGAAATTCATTTACCCAATACCTTTTTTTAATCCATCTATAATCACAGGAAGATCTTTCATTTGGAAAGTCCAAATCATAACCAAGCCCACCCCTTAACAGTAGTATTAACTTAGAGATGAAAACTTGCAATGCATCTAGAAACTTCAATTTCAAAATACCCTATGTGCACACCCAAATACCTCGTTCCACAATTTAACTGTCTAATATTTTAGATACTAGGTTATTTAGGCACTAATGGCAACAGAATTTAAGTCAGTTGATACTACTACTGCAGTCTTCATCAAGAGAACTTTCCTGATTACTCAATACACACAGCCTCAGACACTGCAAATACCTTATAACACTGTACAATTAAACAAATATCAAATCAGATGCTCTTAAGCAAATTATAATACATAAGTTAATGTATTGAAACAGGCAATTTGAAACAGAATCCTGTCAAAAAAACTATTGCCGGTATTTTTAAATTCGTCTTCACTCTGAAACTGAAATTACAGCCGTTAAGTTTTAATTATTTTCAAAATCTGAGCTAATTTACAGAAGAATCTTCTAGCTTTTTTTTCCTACAATGTGCCCACCCAGACCCTCTCTCACTCACCTTCCTCAAAAAGACAGTGGGAAGAAAGAAATATGAAATGTTCACGGGTCAAGATTAAGATAGAGATCACTCATTTGTTATTATCATGGGCAAAACAGACTTGACTTGAGCAAGATTGATTTCAGTTATCACCAATTAAAATAGGGTAGGATGGTGAGAAGCATCCTGTCATGGTTTAAGCCCAGAGGACAACTGAGTACTGTGCAGCTATTCATCAGAGATGGGGGAGAGGGGGGAGAGAATATGGAGCAGAAGATGCTAAGCTAAAATCACCTTGCATCACCATGGTCTTTGACATGGGCTGCAGGGGAATCTTTGCTCTGGTGCCTGGACCACCTCTTCCCACTCCTTCACCCACCTTGGCAACTGCAGGGCTGTTTCTCCTACAGCTGCTGTGCAGCTTTTTTTACCCTTCTTAAATATGTTTTCCCACAGGCACCATCATATTCACTGCCTGGCTCAGCCGTGTCCTGAAGCACACGCAGCACAGGGCATAGCTGGCCTCTCCTCAGAGGCCCCTGCAGCTCCCCTGCCAGCAGCTGGGCAGTCACACAGTATTTTTACAAAAGCAACGCTCATGTCTTTAAAATAAAATTTGTGCAAGTTTTGCATAAACTGTGAGTAACTGCTTTTTTAAAGCAACAAGTGCTTCCAGGAGAAAAAGCCTACCATACACTTTTCAATCTAAGAAACCACTGCTTCTGAAACTTCTGTGTCCACACACAGACCCACCACAAACTATCTGCCAGATGTCATTTTAAAAACTTGAGAATGCAGTAACAGAAAATATAAGTTACAATGGATTCAAGGGATAAAGATAAGCCTGAGTATAAGCTTCAGTATTTACCAAGCAGATTAGTTCTGTAAATGATACTAGAATTTTGAGAGCAAATCACAAATCCGGAAAAAAATCCTAATAAAGCCCAATAAAATACTTCAGAATAAATAGTAGATAAACTGATTACTGAATTACTTCCTAAAAAAAGGTATTTTCTTACAATGTTTAAGTAATGCTTTGTTGAGTGTTTTACAGAAATTTAAGAGAACAACACATGAAACCAAACACAATATTAAAAAAATACATGTCAGTTTCCAAAAATGCATCTACTATATGGAGAAATCCTTATACATTAACTTACACCCTTCCCTCTTCTGCTGTTGAACCAACAGATATTCCAGTTACATTATTGGTATGCTTTTCTATGTAAGCTGAAATTAGCACCTTTTATCGGATTCCTGCTAAACAAACATTAAAAGCTGTGATGGGTTTCTGTGGAACAGTTTTCTGTAGTAGGGGAGGGGGCTACAGTGGTGTCCCTTGCGAGAAGCTTCTTGAAAGTTCTCCCGGCTCCAAGTCAGATCCACCTCTAGCCAGGGCCAAGCCAATAAGTTGAGCCTCTGCGGTAACGTATGTAACGATGGGAACCTGAAAAGGGGTTGGGACTTGTGAGAAGAACAAACACCCAGGTCAGCGGAAGGAAGGAAAAGGACATGGGGGAGGTGCACCGGAGCAGAGGTCCCTGTATCCCATGGTGAGACAGCGGGCCTGACCAACCTGCCACACATGGAGGTCTATGACGGAGTAGAGGCTGATCTGAAGCCTGTGGAGCAGCTCATTCAGGGCAGGCGTCTGTCTTTCCAGGAAGCTGGGACTCTGAGGGGAGAAGCAGCCTCCACTGTTGTAGTTTGGTGCTGGGAGGACTGCAACATGTGGGAGTAACCCATGCTGGAGCAGCGTGGGAGCGGCTGCAGCCCA